CCAGACTTGTTTAACAGACTTGTTCAGCAACATTAAATAGCCTATATGCCCGGGGCCTCGCAAACCTACGGCGAATGTATGTTGTTTTTTTTTTTTATTTGTTGTTTTAACATCATCCAATCGTTCTAAGCAACTTTGGACCCAGAAACTCAGAGGCCCGTTCACTTCTTGCCTTGAATTGAACGAGGTCATGGCAGAGTCTGGAGTGTGTTCCGCTGAGCTATAGCAACACCAAACGAACTCAGAGTGCAAAGCCAGGGCTGACCGTTGCTGCAAGCGTTTTTCCACAAAGGACTCCGGAACGAATCCACCGGTTTGAACTTAACTCGAGACACCACTGGGGTGTCTGGCCAGGACAACATCCATGAGCAGACCGGCAGTGAGCCTTTGCTACGGGGAATTACGACAAAAGTAAGGCAAAACAAACTATACTCTGTGACTCGTTGGTGTTCTCTAGTTGGCCCTCGTCTATAGTTAATCAACCCCATGGTTATTCAAACTAAATTTGCAACATAATTTCCGACCATTTGTTCCCTCATTCTGGTAGAATCGTCTCCCTCTACTATATAAACTGAAATTCCATTGAGCCTAACATATTCTGTTTATTACCTTCTGGTTTGTTTCATGTTGACTGTTGACCCTGTAACATTCCCACATTTACTCCCACTGTTGTACTCCCTTTAGTTAAATAAATAAATTTCACCTTGATCACAGTGATTTGTGTGTGTGTATTGTTAAGATCCGGGTCCCTGTACAGAGGATTTACCCTCAGATTTGAGGGTGACTGAACCATTAATAACTAATGAATTACCAGAAATTCGTGTAATTATCAAGCTATACTCAAGGACCTAAAGCCTTAGGTGGACAAGCAAATCTTTAGGTGGTGCCCTGGTTTCGAGGTATGAATTAATATTCCCTAAAATATTAATTTTCATAACTTTATTAAAAATCATACATTATCATTAGACCTGCTACACCAGAAAAAGAGGGGGCAGAATGCCCAAGTGGACCCCATTAGGTGCAGTACAAGTGAATGGCGCAGTAAATATAATCCTTTAAAAACACAGGAAATTAAGAGTTTAATGCTCAAATTCTTCTGGGGGAGAACCCTCACACTCCCACTCATAAATTTCTGCATCGAATATTTCTTCAAAGCAGTGATAAAATATCTTCTCTTGTTCTCGTGACCAAAGTGCGTCGTCACACTCCTAATCTTAGCCCTTATGTTTCCACCACTTTTCAACACAAAGTGACGCCCCTGTTGACAGCAATCGGCAAACGTTTGAAATGTTAAACTAATACTCAACATTAACAAATCAAAGACTAATCACCATGTGGAACCATGCATAACAATGTAATGAATGAAAACAACACACAAAAATGAAACTGCTGTTTTCTCCAACTGAAATTAAAATTGTAGCCTGCTATAGTGGTAAGCTGTATAGTAGCTTATACTATTATCTGAAATTATTATGAATACACTACATTAGCCCTAATAAACCTTAACCTAATACACACACCAAAATGTGAATGGATACTGTCATGGGGCTACCCCATGCCTTCATTGAAGCCAGCAGTGTTGGTCTTGGCATGCTAAGCTAACCTTAGCTGAGCATTAGCATAGGACGGTTACCCTTAGCATATGGGCTAGCATCAATGGACACATGGCCTGTCATTTCATGTCAGTTCATATAAGTACTGGTCAGAAGAGTTGAAATCATGGTTGGATAAATACAACAAATACACAGTTCATTTCAAGTAATTTATTTTAGCTTATGGAGTGTGGAGTCATTTATAGGGAGAAGACCTGGAATGGTCCAAGTGTGAGCCAGTACAGAGGGGTGTACGGGAGTATCTTAAAGTTGCTCTTTTGAGAAGCTTTTGTTTAGCCGGTAACATTTCATTTCTGGTTTTCTAGTTGATTTATTGTGTGGTGATGTAGCCAGAGATGTGTTTGATGGTTGAGATAACATAATGGTGTTTAATTGATTGTCAATTAACTTTGGTTTGTCTTGTAGGAGGGGCTTCTGGTATAAAGGAAGGAGGCAGAGGCCCCCCTGGAGAGAACAGCTTGGGCCTGGAAGTGCACATGTGCTGGAGCCCAATAGTCAGGGCTGATATAGGTTTTGTGTAATCTCAGTTTTTAATGATAATTTGAATAGTATATACTTAGTTTTCTCGTTGTTTGTTTTTGTTAATTTTTGATATATTTTTACTATACCTCACTTGCACAACTGCACTTTCCACGAATCTGGTTTTAAAAATAAATGAAAGCGCCGGGTGAAGAACTCATGTCCATGTCTCCTCCTTCCACCATGGGGCTAAACCTTACAGATACTATTGGCCCTTAAATTACGCTTGTAAATATTCCTTTCTATTTTCCCTTATTTTTGCTTTTTATACATATTTTCACTTGATGCATTCAGCTTTGGGCACATATGGCTCTAGCACCTTGAGCTATTTTTTCACCATACATAGTAAAAAGATAATGGAACAGTCGGATGTGCTTTGTTGACTCTGGTTATTGAAATCATAATTAATCACAATTAACTCCAGTGTCAGCACAGTTATCACGTTCGTCCTGTTCTCAGATTCAGGAAGAAGTTGTTGGTATGGCGTGTGGAAAAGTATGAATTTTAGTTTGTTGAAAAAAACAAACTAGTCTGATAATTTTCTCCCATCTTTTCCCATTGTGTGCAAATGTATATTATATGCATATAAATATAAAAAAAATTTAAAAGCAGTTTAATTTAGTATTTTTGTCTCCAGGAGGAATTACATTGATTTTCAAAATGACCATGAGCTGCTTACAGATGACATTATCTTAATAAAGAGGACGATTTTTATTCTTTTAGTTACTTTACAAATTAAGAGCAAATAACATACACAGAGCTTATAAAACATGTTTTGTTAGAAATGAAACTACCCAACAGTTTATAAAAGTAAAGTTGACAGAAAATTTACTGGCAACTATTTTGATAATCGTTTAAGCAGCTCAATACAAAAAAGTTAAAAATAGCCTCATCCAACCACTACTTCATCTTAACCTTTTGTCTGAAGACACAAAGCAGGAATTAACTTTACATTTCCACAGTGAGCAAGCAGGACTCCTCTGCTCAACTTTCTGCTTATTTACCAAACCACTTAAGTAAACAGTAATGTCCTTGTAGTGGGTCAGTTAAATGGAAGAAGGAGTTTCTGGGTAATATTTGCTCAAGTCTGAACAGAGTTTATAATGCCATGAATTTACAGGAATTGTTCCAGACCTGAATACATGATATAAATAAATATTTGTACTCTAATCTAACTGTAGAGAAACTGTATAACAATTTACACATTTTTCCCCTCTAACAAAGGCAGACAGATGGTTTGTGACGCATCAGGCAGTACAAGGATGCAGGGTCCTGTTTGAATTTCCACATCTAATACTTGGATGACATCAGTGTGGTTAGGAAATTAAAGTCCAACATGTTTTATGTATATAATGCATTATGAAACCTGGACATGCAGGGGCAAAAATTCTAACATGTAGATTTAAAGGGATAGTAAGTACAATGCACTTTTGGGGGGGGGGGGGCTTCTGAGGGATCACTGAGGGGTGTATTTGTTGGCACTTGATTTCATACACCCGAATTACGTACACATCAAACCACTCAGTGAGTCCTAGCACCTGCAGTTTTTATATTTTCATTAATGTGCTCAATTATTCAGCTGGGGGGTGGGGCCTTCCAGGTATTTCTATGCACAAACAAGTGTGAAACAGAGTTATTTGATTTTTTACTTACAACAATTTGCACCAATGTTGTCCACAGCTGGAAGAAAGATATTTAATTTGATTAAACAAATGTGGCTCTGGTTAAAAGGGTGAGTGCAGTTTGTTTCACAATTATGGTTACGGTCATGTGGGCCTAAACCAAATTCGCACACATTTAGGATGATATATGGTATTGAGAATTATCAATCTATCCATTCTATGGGGTTGGGGGTGGAGCCAATCCCAGTGGACACAGGGTTGACACATTGAGACAAACAACCACACACACTCACATCTAAGGAATATTTAGAGTTTGAACCCAGGACCTTCGTGCTGTGGGGCCACAGTACTATCCACCATGCCATTGCACCGCCGTATTGAGAATTATGTTGTATATAATTTATCTAAGAAGCAAAAATGTATTTATATCAACTATTTTCCCAGTTCTACTGGGTGATACAGATTTTTTTAATGTGCCATCTCAATGATTGTTTCAAACTTGGCTCAGGCTCCTAACAAAAGCGAGTCCACATATACACAAAAGTTCAAAAGCCAGGTTAATTTATTTTTATTAATAAGGAAATAGGGTAGAGTGTGGAGATATAGATGTAGTCGGCAGTCTAAGGCGTGTATGGATGACATATGCATGCCCAGGAGTTGTAGGGAAGTCATACAGGCACGTAGAGGCCACATACACTACTGAGCCTCATTTTGACTTGTTTTAAGGACATTACATCAAAGTTGGATCGGCCTGTAGTGTGGTTTTCCACTTTGATTTTGAGTGTGACTCCACATCCAGACCTCCATGGGTTGATAAATTTGATTTGATAATTTTTGTGTGATTTTGTTGTCAGCACATTCAGCTATGTAAAGAGTATTTAATGAGATTATTTCATTCATTCAGATATAGGATGTGTTATTTTAGTGTTCCCTTTATTTTTTTGAGCAGTGTATTATACCTGCCCAGCAAGAGAGAGCATTTGGCCCCTCCCTCCTCTCAGGTGCAGGCAGTTGCTCTGATGACCCACCCAGGCTCCCACAAGAAGAAAACAGCAGTACAAGCAGCCAGGCTGTCACGATGATATAGAACATTAATTTAGTCTTCTTTTGAGCTTTTTACTGGGAATTACATAAGAATGTGGTCAGTACAAAAAACATAGGAAACATTTCAATTAGCCAGTTTTATTTTGAAAAAGCCTTACAGATGAAAAAAAAAAACCTTTTCAGCATAAACTTTAGATTTAGTATTTATTTTCTTTCTTCTGCTATTCTCTTCACAATTTATTTGAACATTTGCAGATACAGAAGAGTTTCTTTTGGTTGGAAAATGCATGTTGTCTACATTTTGATTAAAAAGTAGCATCTTGTAATCCAAAGTTTACAAAGGGAACTTTATATAAATTAAATGAACCCAGTAAGATTTTCCTTTGTATAAAATCAGGTTCTCAGCTTTATCAAACCTAAAAAAACAATTTGTGAAACATGCTGTTAGCGGAGACTGAACAATATTGTTGTGGTGTTGTACCTGACTTGTCCGTCAGTCCGGTTACCTGCAGAGTACTGCTGGTAACTCCCAGGTAACTAGAGTTAATGCTATACACCTTGCATACCAGGTGTAATGCAAACGAAGAGACATCAGAGTGAAAACCAGAAGTGAAAACTACATTTGGTGTGAACTTCAGGATATCAGATAACACAGCTATGGTGCGTTAATGTGTGAGACTGTATTTGTGTGAGTGCGTGTGAAGAGAAAGAAAGAGGAGAGAGAACACCTGAGATTCAAGGTAAAACTTTCTCCTCCTCTTTCATGCGAGGCAGAACACGACATCCACAGACCAAGATGAGATCTGGCTGGATTAAAGGATCAGTCATGGCCTTTGCTTTGACTGCAGCTCTGCTATACCTTGGCTCCATTAAGAAGGAGGTCCATACCCATTCAGAGAAAATCCAGAGGGCCCACAACAATGACTCCATCAGGAGTCAGAGAATTCTTAATAGGATGGACAAGATGGAAATGAACATTAACAGGCTGCGTGAGTCTCTCATTAGGTCTTTTTTTATTTTTATTAAAGTATAAAACTAGGTTCCAAAAGAATAAACATGATTTTAAGATTCTTCTTCATAGTATTTGGGCTAAATATAGCTGAAATGTTAAGGTTCTTTTTGGACATTTAGGTTCAGTATAACAGTCTTGTTAAACAACATGTTATTGACCAGCTTCACATTCAAGTTAATTCAAGGTAATTAAAATTGTGTTAAAACAATAGTGGTATTGAATAGGGCTGCAACAAACAATTATCATTAACTGTCTATCTGCTGATTATTTTCAATTAATGTATCAACTGTTTTGTCTACTTTCATCTTGTTCAACATTGTGTTGTATAATGATAAATTACCTTGATATGTGACAAAGTAAAGCAGCAAATCCTCACATTTGAAACCGATGAATCTTTGGCATTTCGGTTGAAAATTGACTGAAAAGATTAATTCTAAATAAACTGACCTGAACACATGTTAAACTATTTTCACATTAATTTACTTCAGATTAGATTAAACAAAGTACAGTTAAACAGTAAATGACTGCACATAATACTAATTGCACCAGAGCAAAGACAAACATTTATATATTTGTTAATGAAACGGAGCATGCTATATTTATATTTCAGGGAGGAGCACTTGTTTGTTTGGCCACTGGTCATTCTGTTTGCATAGAAACATAAAACAAATACTCTGATCCACTCTTCTGTTGGCAGTCCATCTGATGAATAAACTTGAAAAGAGGGAACCAGTGCCAAAGAAGAACCCAGAGGTGAAGAAGGAGAGGAAGGTGGTGAGGAAGCTGTACCCGAACTCTGCTCTGTTCAGCAAGTGGGGTAATGAGCTTTCAGAGGAGGAGCAGAAGGAGGCCGAGAATTTGTTTCAGAGATACGGCTACAACGCCTTCCTCAGTGACAGGCTGCCCCTCAACAGAGAGATCCCTGACACCAGGCCTGCCAGGTGATTATCATTTCCTGTTCATACTAACAAACTACACCTCAATCACACACAATGGACTGCTTTACTGTATGATGCCTGTTTAGTGTGAGACCCTGGTGATTGAAAATTTTGTTTTAAAAAGAACTTTTATTACATTCCGGAAGGGGAAATACAGTTTGGGGGGGTTGTTTCTTTTTTTAACCATTTTACAACATTTTATAGACCAAATGATTAATCTAAGACGAAGCTCATATCCAAAATTAACATAAAATTCAGATGCAAAAGTGATGCATTTTTTAATTAAAAAAATGCATCACTTTTTCTTCCCCTCACAGGTGTGCTGACAAAAAGTACCCAGAGGATCTGCCTACCATCAGTGTTGTTTTAATCTACCTGGATGAAGCTCTTTCTGTCATCAAAAGGGCCATCTGCAGCATCATAGACAAGACGCCAGCTCGGCTGCTGAAAGAAATCATACTGGTGGACGATCACAGCAGTAATGGTAGGTCGACCTGCTACGGCTCTGGCTCTCAATTTATTATCAGAGTATGTCTGATACTCTGAGAATATATTTTATCTCATACACATAGTGGTATGTAGCCATACCGATGGATATTTTAGATTTTTGCATCTGAGTTCACACCAAAACAGGAAATGCTTGCATGAATTTGTCCATTGTACAGGTTACAATTGAAGTGAATGTAACAGTACCTTGAGAAGTTTGGGTAAACGCTTTACTTTCTTGAGTTACGTGAGTTGATCTACACCACTATCATATTTGTGTGTTAAAGGAGACAGCTAGCTTTTAGCATGAAGACTAGAAACCAGGGACGTAGGAGCGACTTTGAAACTGGGGGGGACGCTGAAATGCTGGGGGGGGGTCGGCCCCCCTGATTTTTATTTTAATTAATGCACTTAAATGCTCATTTCTAATGACTTTTGAAAACAGATTGTACTTATTGGTGTGGCTAAAAGAGGGTCTTTGTAGTGACAGAAGATGGAGAATAGACTAGAGATGGTAGATTATGAAAACTCGGAGAGGAAGAGGGTCAGAGAGAGGGAGTATAATATAACTAGAACAAAACCGACTACCATTAAAAACCATGGAACAGCTGCTAGTTAATGTAGCTAGCCACAGTATAAATGTATTTAGTTATCCTAACATTACACTTGTGAGCTGTCAGTGATATTTCAAACAAACATATTTCTAACAAAGTCTTTTTACCATGTGAATTTTAGAATATATTATGTCTACTAGCTATCCATACAACTTACAAGCTCGTCCTCCTCAGTTTTTTCTTCTCCTTCTCCTGTGACCTCTGTCCTCTTCCTCTTAAAATACAGCAGGATGCTCGTTTCTGTTTGAACATTTTGAATGTTTATGGACACGTAGCAGAGACACATGCACTGCATTTTTAAGGTCAAGGATGGTCACAGACGGAGGCAAAAAAGTAGCCCAGAAGTTTGTCCCTGGTCAGCCCGCTCTCCAGACAAAGCATTTGTTGGGTCCTCTGGGTCTTTAGATACCTTTTTTTTATTCCTGTATTCTTGAGTTTTATGTAAGTTGAGTACATAACTAAATTAACCTTTTAAAATACATTTTCAAAACTAGAAACATCCCTCTAAGTAAAGTAATCACTTCAGCTGAGCCCTTGAGTAGATGTCCAACGAAGGTTAAAGTCAAGGGCAACTGGATTTGTTTGAAGATACTGGAAGACGTTTCGTCCCTCATCCAAAGGACTTCTTCAGTTCTGACTGACTGGCAGGGAAACTCAGCTATTTAACCTCAGTGGGGTCTTTTGCCAGGGTCGTTGATACTGCTGGTTCATTAGTGTTCCTGGTTGCTGTAACGACAGTCGTTACAGTCGTTAGGACTACTGGTAGCCAAGACTGAAAGACCATCGTTGGTATCTTCACCTGAGGCCAATAGGTTACGTTTGTTAAGATTCCTGGGAAGAGATGAAAGGACAGCATTGTAAGTGGGGGATAAGTGGTGGCGTAGACCCCCTCCTCTGTTCAGCAACAGGTTCTCGACCCGGGTGTAGATGGCTTCCTTGACACCTCTGTCAAACCATCCATCTTCTCTGTCTAAAATGTGCAGCTGGTGGTCCTCAAACGAGTGTCCTCTGTCCTTCAGATGTAAGTAAACTATGGAGTCTTGACCTGAGGACTTGGCCCTTCTGTGTTGAGCCATGCGTTTGTGTAGTGGTTGTTTAGTCTCCCCAATATACAGGTCTGTGCATTCCTCACTGCATTGGACCGCATACACTAGATTGCTTTTCTTGTGTTTGGGTGAGCGGTCTTTGGGGTGTACCAGCATCTGTCTTAGTGTGTTCTTGGGTTTAAAAAACACAGGGATGTTGTGTTTGTTGAAAATCCTCCTGAGTTTCTCTGATACTCCAGACACGTATGGAATCACAATGTTGTTGCGTTTGACCTTTTGTTCTTCTTGGATCTTGTGGCTGTTTTCCACAGGCTGTAAGTGCCCCCTTCAGGTGGTTCTGTTCCTTCTCTCTGGCTTGGGTGCTTGTTGGTATGTTTTCCACTCTGTGGTGTAGTGTTCTCATGACCCCTAGCTTGTGCTCCAGTGGGTGGTGGGAATCGAACAGTAGGTATTGGTCTGTGTGTGGGGGTTTTCTGTAAACACCAATCTGCAGGCTCCTGTCCTCTTCAATGTGTACAGCGCAGTCCAGGAAGGCCAAACTGTTGTTGTGAACATCTTCTCGTGTGAACGTGATATTGCAGTCCACAGAGTTGATGTGTTCTGTGAAGGCTTGCACTTCCTGGCTTTTAATTTTGACCCAGGTGTTGTCCACATATCTGTACCAGTGGCTCGGTGCTGTTCCTCTGAAGGAGTTGAGGGCTTTGCTCTCCACTTCTTCCATGTAGATGTTTGCCACAATCGGGGATACCAGTGAGCCCATGGCACAGCCATGCTTCTGTCTGTAGAATCCTCCGTTGTACTGGAAGTAGGTGGTGTTTAGACAGAGGTCGAGTAATTTACATATCTGGTCAGGGCTGAGGCTAGTTGTCTTGTGTTAGCTGTTTCCTACTGCCTCTATGGTGGGGATGCAGGTGAACAAAGAAGTCACGTCATAGGATACCATGGTTTCATCTGGATCCAGTTTTAGTCCTCGAACTTTGTTTACAAAGTCATTAGAGTTTTGGACGTGGTGAGGCGTGTTTCCCACCAAAGGAGCTAAGATGGTAGAAATGTGTTTGGCAATGTTGTAGGTGACCGAGTTAATGCTGCTGATAATCGGCCTTGAGTAGATGACTAAATAATATATTTTATCTGCTGTTCATCAGGTTTGAAACAGCTGCAACATGGTTATTTCAAGGGAATGCAATTTGCTTTGCTGGTTGATTATCTTTAGCTATTTCCGTTTAATAATTATTTTCCTTTTTTAAATCTCCATGAATGTGTTGATAAGATCACTTTAAAATATCATGCTTGCTGCCCAGCTGGAGCTGTATTGCCCAGTCTCTTCAATCACTGTCAAGTGAAATAGCCTACTGCATTTTATGGGTTGTATTGGCCATTTAAAGTTATTTTAACAGGTAAAAAAGAGTGGATTGGTTGGTAGGCCTACACAGCAAGTAAAATAATGCAGAGTCATAAGGATAATAACAATTAAAATTGTCTTCATTTTATATCTAAGTTGGCAGTAAGTCATGTTAATTAGGCTACAGCCCGTTTTCCAAATATAAACAAAGATATTACACTACCAAACATCAGTTTTTGGCAGACGATCACTTTTCGGCACGACACCTGTTGACGCCAGCCAGCTTGTTAAAGAGCGACGCAGGCTGCTTTCTAATACTGCCAGCAGTGTGCGCTCACTGGATTTCAGTTGTTTCAGTAGAACAATAAAGCCTTTTAACTGAAAAGGTATTTGTCTGATTTTCTAATTGTTTGCATCTGTCCAGCTCATTCATGTCTCTGATAAGCGCACGTCTCTGTACCACAGAGGAGACCTGGCGCTCTTCAGCGTAACTGCGTGCACACAGCCTGGCTGACAGCTCATTCGGTTAATGAAGCTTATTGCAGATTACAGACTGATGACGGTATGAATGGAAAATGTAGTGACTTAAAAGTAGATCACTGTCCCTCTTACGTATAATGGCTCCTACGGGTATGCTAGAAACAGCTGGACACAGCTTGCTTGGTTCTGTGTTTGTGTCTACTAGCGACTCTAAAGCTCTTGAATTAATTTGACAAAATATTTAAATTCTGCAGAGGATTTAATGGAGAAACTGGATGAATACATCAACTCCATCCACGAGGAGGTTCCAGGCCTGGTGAAGAAAGTCAGGCACTCGGAGCAGCTTGGCCTCACCCAGGCCAGACTGTCCGGATGGAGGGCTGCTGTTGGAGACGTGGTGGCCATCTTGGATGCTCACATAGAAGTCCATGTGCAATGGTTGGTCCAAGTGGAGTGATCTGAGTTGTCACTGTCAAGTTGTAGGCTGTGTTTTCAAGTCATCACACTTTTTGTTTGTTCAGTCAAGTCATGTAACTGTTACACTGTGACTGTGTGTGTTTAGGGCAGAGCCATTGTTAGCTCGCATTAAAGAGGACCGAACCGTGATACTGACACCAGTGTTTGACAGAGTCAATTTTGATGATTTGGCACTGACTCCCTACATACCTGCGGCGGATGCCTTCGACTGGGCTCTGTGGTGCTTGTATGAGTCCTTCAGACCCGAGTGGTACGCTTTAAAGGACGAGTCACAACCTGGCAAGTAAGTTCCAGTTTAAACATTCAGTTCACCCAAAACACAAAAAACTACTTTAACATTATAATTTGACATTTTGTGTGAAGCAAATTTTAATATTTTCTGAAGACATGGGGGGGAAAAAAAAAAAATATATATATATACATTTACAAAGATTGTGACTTTGGGGAACTGGCCCTTCACTCTAATCAATCTAATTACTCCTATTTTTTATGAATGAAGAGTAGTTGGTGTTTTCATTTATTTTCAAATTCTGTCCTCAGGAGCCCCTCCATCATGGGGATTCTTGTAGCCGATCGAAAGTTCTTTGGAGAGATCGGAAGCCTTGATGGTGGGATGAAAATATATGGCGGTGAAAATGTGGAGCTCGGCATCCGGGTAAGATTTACGGGATGTTTCAAAGTGACTAAAAGACTGTAATTAAAATCAAAATAGAACTGTGTTTTGGAATGGTTGCTCAGAGGTTATTTGTATTTAACATTGGTTTCTAGTTTGTTAATGGTAAGTAGTAACTCATCAATAGTCAAAACCATATATGCAGAACAATGAGTTCAACATTTCCGAATTTGGCTGTAGCAGTCAAACTTTTGTTTTAATGTTCCACCCCATCCAGGCTGTGATTGGTTGGTTCATAGAAAGTCACAGGATGGGCACATCGGCTTAAAAAAACTTGATATACACTCCTGAGGTACAGTAGCTAAATAACCAGCTAGCCAAACCCAGACCTTCTTTTTCTTATCGCTATTTCCTTCTATCTGACCTTCTATCTCAACTGCAGACGACGTATCCGTGTCGCTGTTTTTATAAAACAAACTACTCACAGAGCGACCTCCTCTTGGGGGCTAGGACGAAATGCAATGATACCAAGCCAACCAATCAGTTATTGTGGCTACGCATAGGCTGGGTCCGCATTACCCTTTTGAAAAACTCATCTACATGAATCACATACATGACCTATATCGGATTCAAATGGCGAATTTCACCCAAAGATGTGCACCCCTGTAAACAGTACAAGGTAACTGAGTGATCTAAGATGTTTGATGCATGCTGCGATATGCTAAGGACAAAGAATGGAACATTTAAATGTAGTGTGCATATTGGTTTGGACTTGCTAAATTGTTTGCTTTATTGTGCAATATAAATTTTTCCTTGCAATAAACTATTTGCATAGTGTGTGTGTGTGTGTGTGTGTGTGTGTGTGTGTGTTTTATGTTTTTAGTGGGGACTTTAACCTGAAAGCACACTAACCCATGGGGACACATGTCACCGAGACTGCTTTTAGAGAGTTAAGATGTGGTTTTAGGTTACAGCTGGGTAAGGGTCAAGTTTATGCATGTAGTTGTGATGGTTAAGGATAGGTAAAGGGGCTAGGGAAGGAATTCTGTCAATGAGATATCTCCATGGGGTAGAGGAACAAATGTTTGTTAATTAAGCACATATCAAGGTCATTTAACACATAACTGTGTACATAATATACATTTTTGAGGAGCCCCTCCATCATGGGGATTCTTGTAGATGATCGGACGTTTTGTGGAGAGATCGGAAGTCTTGATGGTGGAATGAAAATTTATGGAGGTGAAAATGTGGAACTCGGCATCCGGGTAAGATTTACGGGATATTTCAAAGTGACTAAAATACTGCAATTAAAATCAAAATAGAACTGTGTTTGGAATGGTTGCTCAGAGGTTATTTGTATTTAGCCATGCTAGCAGCATAGCGTAGCTTTCTGGGATGCGAATATGTGTATATTTGAGCAGCGTGCACATTGCTTTGGACTCCCTAAATTGTTTGCTTTGTAGTGCAGTGGTAATTTTTCCTTGCAATAAATGTGTGTGTGTGTGTGGGTGTGTGTTAAATGCCCTTAAACTTTACTTTTAAAATATTTACCTTTTTGTTTTTCCAGGTGTGGCTGTGTGGAGGAAGCATAGAAGTCATACCTTGCTCTAAAATTGCCCACATTGAACGGGCCATCAAGCCTTACCTCCCAGACTTGAGTGTAATGGTAAAGCGTAATGCTCTGAGGGTGGCGGAGGTGTGGATGGATGAATATAAATACAATGTCAACATTGCCTGGAACCTTCCCCTAGAGGTAAGGGATGTCACCTCTTTACTCACATAAATTAAAACTTCTCTCAATACACAAATTTGGCTTCATAACTTGTGCAAACCCTATAGTTCCTCTTACTGATCAAACCTTTTGTGGCGTTTTTACCCTGATGTTTCCTACAGAATCATGGGATAGACATTGGGGATGTATCGGAGAGGAAAAAGCTGAGAGAGAGGCTGAATTGCAAGCCCTTTAAGTGGTATCTGGATAATATTTACCCCTTGCTGGACCCTCTGCAGGATCTGCTGGGTTATGGAACGGTGAGTAGAAACAATATCAAATGTGACCACTGCATTTGAAGTCTGAATCTGCAGGTGTGACAGTCATGCTTCAGAAGGCTTCATTTGGGTTTTATTCAATACATTTAAACACTTTCTTCACCATCCTATTGATTCCCATGACGACACTAATTCATCCAAGTCACCGGATGATGATGATGATAGCAGCAAGTCAGTTGTATAGTTTGGCTTAAGATGTTTTTTGACCCTGTATTTATTCAGAGTAGTTTTTCACAGGACGCATGAATACTCTATTGCAGGTACTCCAGCTCCCTCTAGTTAAAAAATCTTCACATCTGCCTCAAATAAAACCAGTCTTTGATATGGTGACTACAGAGCAGTTGCAATAGCGCTTTCTACTGCAATAGCAAGAGCACCTCTCTTCCATTTTCCTCCCTGGATATTACACTGAACTGTCACGTAAACTAGTGGTTTCCAACCTTTTTGGCTTCTGACCCCTTAAAGGGACAATATGATGATCTTCAGTGAAGAAGCTGTGTACCTGAGGATCTGTAAAACGACAATATATCCAAATTGAATGTTATGAAGCAAAGAGCGGTACATCCATGTTAGCTGGCTGCCCCTGCCTTGCATCACTACCTGCTAGTATAACAAATCGCTCCTTTACTTTGTACTGTTACATTATTTCTTGCAGGTTAAAATCAACACTATGACATTATTACCAGTGGTACACAGGATAGTAATATGGATCACGATAGCTGAAGTAATGTGAACCCAAAACCCATACAACTATAGTATTTTGCACTGGTACAGAATCGGAAGGCAAGAAGCTCGGTAGGGTGTATGCAGTCACAGCCATTGGACTCCCTGAAAAATCTGACCCAGAGTCTTCACATAGGATTAGGTAAACTGGCCGTCAGAGGTAATGGAATAACCCAGCAAGTGGATTGTTTTTATGTGAGATTACAACCCTTTCACACACAAGCAATTAAAGGCCCGAAGAGGACAAAATAAAAGGAAAGATTAGATAAAGATTTTTTTTTTTGTATCTTGTTAACTGTCCTTGTCACACTCAGGTTTGGTGTCCTGACTCCCATGTTGGGAACCGATGATGCAAATGGCAATGGAAGTCTGCTGCAATTATATATTGTCAACAAATCCCATGAAAATACAAAAACCAACAAGCAGTGTAGTTTATTTTGAGTCAATCACACATACATCATACTGCTGCTGTACTCACCAGAGCACAAATGTGTATCTGCAATTCATTGTTCCAGCATCCACGAAGGTCAGCACGGACCCAGAGTTGGTTTTGGTCTTTTCATTGGATTGGTTGACAACACCAAGAATATCGCCAGCCTTTTAGTGTATTCTGCGTTTAAGTTAAATCATTAGATGATTATGTATATGATGTTGTGTTGGCAGCTGATTAATGACCTGAAGCCAGATCTCTGTGTTGACCAAGGCCCAGTTCCTGGGAACACACCCATTGTATATGCATGCCACAACTACTCACCACAGGTATGTTCAGAGAATCCACCATATGCACACAGACTGTTGTTTTTGTTTGTTCGTGGATAATTATTGTTCTTTGGTATAGCACTGTTATTATCGCTCTGATGGCCAACTCTACATCGGCGGAATCAAATCTCACAAGTACAGCAGCAACCGCTGTCTGGTGGACCCCGGCACCGGAGTCTACCCAGGACTCTACAACTGCAAACTGGCCCAGCAGAAGAACTTCCACATGCTGTGGGATTTTAAACAGGTAAATATTACAGTCTTAAAATACAAATGCACACCAAAGAGGTCACTCTATTTGGAGAAATGTATTATTTATTATTTTATTCCCAGAAAGGACAGATCCAGAACAGAGAATCAAAGAAATGTCTAGAAGTTGCAATGGATGAAGACGGCTATTACAAACTTGTTGTCCAGCAGTGCAGTGGTCAGAGCTGGAAGATAGAAAATCTAATCAAACGCCATGGAAAGACTGCTGGGCAGGGCCCAGAAGACAATATTTTATTGCACAACAACTGAATGTCATGCCAGATATGGAATGGTTGCTTGTCTTTGGAGTGAGTTTATAATTTGCCCTGGACGACTTGGATCCACAAGAGTCAGACTGTGCATGAGCAAAGTTATGAACTGCATTACTGAGAGGAACTAATACTTTATTTAATTCTTGTTTTTTGCATCATGCTTTTTTGACAAATGTAAGTTTGTTTGTTTTATTTTTTCAAAAATATCCTCAAACATTTGTTGTTGTACGGAAATCCTTTTTCTGGTGACAAAATGCCCAGTGAACAAGTTAAAGTTCCTTTTGTAGTTTCTCCAGCAAAACAACTATAGTTTAGAAACTTGTGCGAGGGTTTTAGCTTACCTACAGTACCCACCTTTCAATGTCCGACCCGTTTTCTCCTTTCATCCTATCCTTTTACAAAGAAACCAATGAAACACCCTACACTGAATCTGAATTGTTTACATAAAGGCTGCTAATGGTCTATAGATGTTTGCTCTATAACAAACATCATTCAATTCAAATAGGATCCGTTATGGTTTGGTTGCCATGAGGGATCCATGATGAAGGCATCCCTTTTTTTTTTTTTTTCTGCCACCTGATGTGACCTGTGTCCTTCAGATGAATTGGCAGGGAGCTATACCTGCAGGCTGAAGACACTTTTAATGAGAATGAACTCACTGAAATGCGATATGATTTTTAAAGCTGGAAATATTATTGAAAAGGTCAACAACCCACAAAGACCAAAACCAAAGAAGCGCCAGTCTGTGTTTCAATATTTTCTGACTTTGCTAACCTGTCTGTTAAGTCTTTTAAAATGGATCATAAATATACACTTTAAGGGGACATTATTAAATGTTACTCAAAGTAAGAAAATAGTACATTTGCTTAGGACTGTTTTATATCTATATAGCGGATTAAAACACCAGTGGTTTGAGGTTAGGTTAGGATAATTTGCAGCACCAGTGCCCTGTTCCCAGAAGTGTGTGTGAGGGGATGGAAAAAAAAAAGCCATCATCATCATAGAGCTCCAATAATACAATGGCAACAGGTAAATAAAAAGCGTTTTGGGAGGTCGCTGAAGCATTCATTGAAAGCTTCCAGGGGTCAACCACAGTGCAGCATAGGCTGGAGTTGTTCCTGCTCAGCTACAGAAATACTTCATACGCCATGACCTTCCTCCGCCGTTGGCACCGATCCTGCTTTGACCTACTCAAATCAAGTGTGGCTGCTGTGGTGTATTGGGCTAAGGCGGCCAGCAGAATTGCAGGGCCCCTTTTGCCGAGGACAGGGGTTTTGCAGCTGTGGCCTCTGTTCTGGTCCGTGATTATAGGTGGCGGGAGGAGAAGTGGATGCCTGGTGTGATGGTGTCCCAGGCGGGGCCAGAGTCTTGCACAGTGGATGTGGGCTCTGCACTACACTGGAAACACCTCACAGACCAGATGCGGGTCTGTGACCTGGCAATGTTTGCCCCAAGACAGCCACCACAACTGGCCTTTGTGGTTCAAAGGGCTGCTGTCCCCATGAAAGACTGACTTTTCCTACAGTGGTGGGGCTGGATCCACCCTCCAAAAAGATCATCCAGTCTCCCATACAAGGACTGAAGGACCAGTCGAAGTTCATGCCCCTCCAGAGACTATTAAGAGGTACTCTTCGCGGGTCATTTTACTCCCTGACCACCTTACCTTTTCGGGGACTTTTGGCAAGAGCATGTGCTCCACCACTTCGTAAGTCTCGTCTCCCTGGCAAGAATAATCCTCAGAAAGACTCAAAGTGTGGGGCAGTCTACCCCCAACCTCAGTTAGGTTTTGTTACAAAATGTACGTTGAGTGATGGGCGTTTTTGGGGGTGAATTTGTGATCTGTCATTAAGTATTTCAGTGTGGTTCTGTTGGAACTTTCCATGTGTCATTAGAAACCCCTTAAGTTTTGTGGGGGGTTGTAATAACAATAATGGAGTCAAACGTGTGATGAATCATTCCTTTATGCGTACAGTACAGGAGGAGGCTGAGAATGGTGACCTCGTGCAAATGTTGCTAGCATTTAGCATATAGTCCTAGACATGTCCTGAGATCAGTCATGTTAATGTATGAATTGAAAAGTATCGTCACTGCCCCCGTAGTGTCTGTCTGCCCACATCTGTTTGGAGAGAATGACCCTTTGATAATTATAACAATGTGTCTCTCAAGTGATTGTTAAATAGACTTGTTAAAAACTTAGTTCCAAAGCCTACAATCTAAAACATAAATTTCTTACAGGGGACTACAATCTAATAAGTTGTGAGGAGAAGTGATGTATTGTGTTATGTGTCTGTTCTGGTAATTTTCCCTGGCTGCCGCCTGAGGGTGTGAGTGTTTTGTTCAGGTTGGGTTTTGGCCGTTTTTGGGCTTACTCTTTGACTGTTCTTCTTTGCTGGTTGTTCCGGATTAAACAGCTCACTTCAGCACCTGAAAATATGCCTCGCAGTCGTTGTATACATGACGTTATACTAGTACAGTAACATCAGTGCCATCACATAGTGAACACAACACTTTGATATCGACAGAAATGAAATGGTGTGTCAGACAGCTGCTACAGTTATCACAGGAGAGAGAAAGTCTGTGACCTCCTACTGAGGAGGTTAGCTTCAAAGCATAAGTTGCTGGAGTTACTGATGTAGGGTTTATCTGATCTCAGTCTGTTAAACATTAACCCAGAGTTTCCCTCATTTTAGGTTTAACATACTCAGAGTTTTCACTAATCCCACATTCTGAAACAGGGATCAGGACAGTCATTGTGGGATAAAATAAACTAGTGCCCATGCTTATCGTGATGGAGCATGTCATCCAGTGTGGCTCACTGATGTGTTTTCAAATAGTTTTTGAACATCAATGGAGCTCAGTTGCACAGATGAATAAGATATCAGGCTTTGGATACACAGATAGGATCAATTCATTATTTCATGGGATCTGTTGACAATAAGATAATTATACAATATCACCAGACTTCTCCTTTAAAACATACAGCTGCCTCAAAGGTAGACCGTCAATCTAGAAACATTTGCTTAGTAAATTCTGGCCCTTCAGATCACAAGGTTTTCTTTTAACCCTTAGATGCCAACAAAGGCTTCACAAAAGTCATATAGGCCTGTAGTTCCGAACAAAGACATGTCATCAAACACTCAAAATTCGCCAATTTCTAGCTTGAGTATGTCAGCATCAATGAAGCTGTTTTGGGGCTTATCTGAAGCAGGTGGTTACCTGAGTGATCTAAGAAAATACCCGAATATCTTTATCAAGGGGGCTACAGCCAGGGTGCGACCTCTCTTCATACTTTGTTCAAAAAGAAATGACAATAAAATGAATCTCCAAAAACGAAAAACAGGCCGATTTTAATTGGTTTTTCATTTTTTTGATTCTGACCCCAAAAATGGTTATTTGGTTTTTCGTTTTGAAACAAAAAACAGATAGGCCTAAATGGTAGGCCTATTTACGTTTTAGAATTAAAAACAAATTACGGATCACGGACCCTAATGCCTCCCCTGCTTTCTGGTCCATTTAACTTTAAATGGGGCCATAATTTACTAAATGAACATCATGCTGTGTTGAACACTTGAAACTAGCGATGTTAAGAGACTGGGCGGTACAGCTTTAACATGCTGCGTGCTCCCGCCGACGTCAATCAGTTTTCAGCGATTACTTTTCGGCACGACACCTGTAGGCTCTGCTGTCCAGTCTTTCTGCCCACGTAAAATCTGATTTTGGGTCTGTTAAAATAAGGTGGAGTGTTGAAACACAGATGTAGTCAGTAATCTAATGTGTGTATGGATGAATAAAAAGTATGTGTGTGAGTGTTATAACAAATGCAAACCCAGACTATAAAAACCATAAAAAGGTACGAAGGTCATGAGGATTATTTTAAGTTTGTCTTCTGTTGTGCTTTTTACTGGGAATTACACAAGACTGTGTTTAGTAAGAAAAACATAGGAAACCGTTCAATTAGCCAGATTTACTTGAAAAGCATTAGAGATGAGACAAAGCCCTTTTTCAGCATAAACTTTAGACTTTTCGTATTTCTTTTCTTCTGATATTCTGTGTACAATTTATTTGAACACTTGCACATAAGTATGTTATAAGTCAACAGAAGAGTTTCTTTTTTTGGAAAATGCATGTTGTTGTGTGTATATATATTTTGATAAAATGCTGCATCTTATAATTTATAATCACATGTCTGACGGGCCAAATATTTTCCACCACAGAAATAAAAACCTATAATTTAGTAACTAAATATTCTGTTTGTATATTTTTCTGACATCTTGTATCAGGGAGCCGAAGGTAAAATAGGATACAATGGGAACATGATATGGCTGAACAATATTATTATAGTGTAGGCTATGTTAGTGCTCAACTCAAATTCAATACAAAGAACTTTATTTACTGTTAGGATCCATGTACCGTTCACATTTGCAGAAACCCAGCACAATATATAGCCTACCACACACGTTACATAGCAGCAATCAACGGTCGGGGAGGACCCCTGGACCCCACTCATATATTTCATCATCAAATATTTCTTCAAAATAGTGTTAAAATATCTTCTCGTCTTGTTCTCGTGACGAACGTCTTTCATCACAACCCTAATCTGAGTCCTTTTGTCCCCACCACTTTTCAACACAAAGTGACGCCCTTGATTCTAAATGATCACAAATACACACAAATACACCAGCACCTCCGACAAAGTGCAGCTCACAGTCTCTAACTGAACATGTTTGCTCCTCAGTTACCTATTACAGTTTTATTTTGCAAAGTTACCAGCTATATTACTACTGTCACAATGTGGCTGCGACACACACTCTCTGTGACTGTATTTGTGTAAGTGTGTGTGTGTGGAAGGGGTGGGGAAAAAATAGAGGAGAGAGCACCTGAGATTCAAGGTAGAGGAATATACTTCCTCCTCCTTTTTCATGCGAGACAGAACAAAGCGCATGAAACGTACAGAAGCAGCAAGATGAGATCTGGCTGGATTAAAGGATCACTTCTTGCCTTTGCTGTGACCGCGGCTCTGCTATATCTTGGCTCCATTAAGAAGGAGGTCCATATCCATTCAGAGAGACTCCAGATGGCCCACGACAATGACTCTATCAGGAGTCAGGGAATGCTTATTAGGATAGACGAGATGGAAATGAACATCAACAGGCTGCGTGAGTCAAAATCTCAGAACAGCTGGTTCTGTCTTTTTAAAAAAAAAAAAAAAATATATATATATATATATATATATATATATATATATATATATATATATATATATATATATTTGAAATATAAAATTAATAGGCTACAAATACGTTTTTAAAAAATCAACTTGATTTTAAGATACTTGTACCCAGTTTTGCTTTGGTGATTTGAAGGTCAAAAGATGAAAATGTCTTGACATAATCTAGGCTAACTGTGCCTGAAATGTTACGGTGTTAAAACAATTATAGTATTGAATAGGGGAATTGTCATTAGCCATTTATCTGCTAATTATTTTTCAATTAATGTATCAGCTGTCTACTTTCATCTCGTTTTACAACATTGTGTTTTATAATGATAAATTACCAAAGTAAAGCAGCAAATCCTCTTTTTTGAAACCCATTAATCTTTGGCATTTTGGTTGAAATTTTAAACGATTGGTCAGTTGTCAAAATAGCTGCCATTTAATTTTCTTTTATTCGACTCATTGATTAATCATCTAAAAAAACTTTCACTTTTCAACCAAATTCAGCCCACTTTTAACTAAACAAAACCAAATCAATGCACACAGGTTGAACACATGTTAACAGTTTCACATTAATTCTTTGGATTTGATTGAACAAAGTTACAGTTAAACAGTAAATGACTACACATAATACTTATTGCAGAAATGCAAAGACAAACACTCACTGACAAATTTAAATGAAACCGAGCATGCTATATTTATATTTCAGGGAGGAGCACTTGTTTGTTCGGCCACTGGTCATTCTGATTGCATAGAAAATTAAATGGATAGAACAAATATTCTGATAATCTCTTCTTTCGACAGTCAGTCTGATAAATAATCTTGATAAGAAGGAACCAGCACCACAGAAGAACCCAGAGGTGAAGAAGGAGAGGAAGGTGGTGAGGAAGCTGTACCCGAACTCTGCTCTGTTCAGGAAGTGGGGTAATGAGCTTTCAGAGGAGGAGCAGAAGGAGGCCGAGAATTTGTTTCAGAGATACGGCTACAACGCCTTCCTCAGTGACAGGCTGCCTCTCAACAGAGAGATCCCTGACACCAGGCCTGCCAGGTGATTATCATTTCCTGCTCATAACTACTGACAAACTACACCTCATTCACACACAATGAACTGCTTTACTGTATGATGCCTGTTTAGTTTTATCACTTTTATTACTTTCCTGAAGGAGAAATACAGGTTGTTGGGGTTTTTTTTCTATTTTAAAACATTTTTATAGACCAAATGATTAATCTAAGATGTAGCTTATATAAAAATGTGTCAGTTAACATAAAATTCAGAGGAAATAACATCTACTACCAAATGTCTATGAAACCGAGCCACTGGTACAGATATGTAGACGACACCTGGGTCAACATTAAAAGCCAGGAAGTGCAAGCTTTCACAGAACACATCAACTCTGTGGACAGTAATATCAAGTTCACATGAGAAGATGTCAGTTTGGCCAGTTTGGCCTTCCTGGACTGCACTATACACATTGAAGAGGACAGGAGCCTGCAGATTGGTGTTTACAGAAAACATACCAACAAGCGCCCAAGCCAGAGAGAAGGAACAGAACCACCTGAAGGGGGCACTTACAGCCTGTGGATACCCTAAATGGACCTTTGTGAAAACAGCCACAAGATCCAAGAAGAACAAAACTACAGGGGAGGAGGAAAAGAAGGTCAAACGCAACAACATTGTGGTTCCATACGTGTCTGGAGTATAAGAGAAACTCAGGAGGATTTTCAACAAACACAACATCCCTGTGTTTTTTAAACCCAAGAACACACTAAGACAGATACTGGTACACCCCAAAGACCGCACACCCAAACACAAGAAAAGCAATCTAGTGTATGCGGTCCAATGCAGTGAGGAATGCACAGACCTCTATATTGGGGAGACTAAACAACCACTACACAAACGCATGGCTCAACACAGAAGGGCCAACTCCTCAGGTCAAGACTCTGCAGTTTACTTACATCTGAAGGACAGAGGACACTCGTTTGAGGACCACCAGCTGCACATTTTAGACAGAGAAGATGGATGGTTTGACAGAGGTGTCAAGGAAGCCATCTACACCTGGGTCGAGAACCTGTTGCTGAACAGAGGAGGGGGTCTACGCCACCACTTATCCCCCACTTACAATGCTGTCCTTTCATCTCTTCCCAGGAATCTTAACAAACGTAACCTATTGGCCTCAGGTGAAGATACCAACGATGGTCGTTCAGTCTTGGCCACCAGTAGTCCTAACGACTGTAACGACTGTCGTTACAGCAACCAGGAACACTAACGAACCAGCAGTATCGACGATCCTGGCAAAAGACCCCACACACCTTCGTTGGATCTACTACCAAAGTTTCCCTCTGAAATTTAATTTGCTTCTTATGATTGTGACTGAAAACAAGCACAAGTTTTTAATCAGAAAATGCATCACTTTTTCTTCCCCTCACAGGTGTGCTGACAAAAAGTACCCAGAGGATCTGCCTACCATCAGTGTTGTTTTAATCTACCTGGATGAAGCTCTTTCTATCATCAAAAGGGCCATCTGCAGCATCATAGACAAGACGCCAGCTCGGCTGCTGAAAGAAATCATACTGGTGGACGATCACAGCAGTAATGGTAGGTCGACCTGCTACGGCTCTGGCTCTCAATTTATTATCAGAGTATGTTTGACACTCTTAGATGTACAAAGTGGTATTTGGGCTTTTCATGGGTCAGCTCACCCAAATTATACAAGATATTTTGTCTCTTATCCCTAGTGGCATGTAGCTATGCCAATAGATATTTTAGATATTTGCATCTGAGTTCACACCAATGCTAGCATGTATTAGTCCATTGTACAGGCTTCAATTGACGTGAATGTTACAGTACCTTGAGAAGAAGGGAAAGTTTGGGATAAACACTTATTTACTGTCTGGATGAGAGTTCACTTTCTTGCAGAGAGTTACGTGAGATGATCTATACCACTCATATTTGTGTGTTAAAGGAGACAGCTAGCTGTTAGCATGAAGACTAGAAACAGTAGGAAACGGCTTGCTTGGTTCTGTGTTTGTGTCTACTAGCACCTCTAAAGCTCATCTCTTTTAACACACATGTGAGTGTTGTTGATCCCCTCATGTAACTCTCTACAAAATAACAAATAAGCATTCCTCCCCAAAATGTCTAATTATTACTTTTTTATTTATATTTTTAAATAATTGAATCTACAGCTCAGATGACTAAAATGGTTTGTGACAAAATATTTAAATTCTGCAGAGGATTTAATGGAGAAACTGGATGAATACATCAACTCCATCCACGAGGAGGTTCCAGGCCTGGTGAAGAAAGTCAGGCACTCGGAGCAGCTTGGCCTCACCCAGGCCAGACTGTCCGGATGGAGGGCGGCTGTTGGAGACGTGGTGGCCATCTTGGATGCTCACATAGAAGTCCATGTGCAATGGTTGGTCCAAGTGGAGTGATCTGAGTTGTCACTGTCAAGTTGTCGGCTGTGCTATGGTGATGATAAGTCATCACACTTTTTGTTTGTTCAGTCAAGTCATGTAACTGTTACACTGTGACTGTGTGTGTTTAGGGCAGAGCCATTGTTAGCTCGCATTAAAGAGGACCGAACCGTGATACTGACACCAGTGTTTGACAGAGTCAATTTTGATGATTTGGCACTGACTCCCTACACACCTGCAGCAGATGCCTTCGACTGGGCTCTGTGGTGCATGTATGTGTCCTTCAGACCCGAGTGGTACGCTTTAAAGGACGAGTCACAACCTGGCAAGTAAGTTCCGGTTTAAACATTCAGTTCACCCAAGACACAAAAAACTACTAAACTACTACTAATTTATACTTATAATTTTACATTTTTGGTAAAGCAATTTTATATTTTCTTAAGATCTAGAAGAGAAGATCAATAACACTTATATGTCATATAATATGAAGCAGGACCTAGGAGACATTTGGCTAGCTAGTCTCTGCTACCAAAAAAGAAAGTCAGACACACATGTTTACTACACATGCAGGGCCTTAACCAGGGTTTAAAAGGTAATGATGTCCAGATTTTTTGTTTCTTTTAATAGATCTTATATACGGTAATCCATCCTAAAATAACAGCTAAACACAACCAAAGTTTAAGAAAATTTTGTTATACTAATCTTCACGACATGAATTAGGGGTGTAATGGGACACAATATTCCCCTTATGTACAATTTCAGTACAGTGGAATTGGCCATATAGCTGCTATTATGCACTACATAAAAATCGAGTAAAAAAATGTTGCGGTGCGCCTTTTGCCTGTAAACAGGAGATAAGGTTAGCCCTCAGCCTGATGAACGTGAAGTTTCATCATCAGTCCCTGTAAGCAATGACACAATAAATGAATCTCATCTAAAGCCTAAAGGACTACACTGTTTATATGGAATGACACGATGGGCACTATTATTAAACATTTCCAATCAATGCCTGAAGTGGCCCGTATCCAGATGCTATCTAGGAGTGATCTGTCACAATCCTCTTTGTCTTCAGAACCTCTTTCCTTTTTGCACAAACCATCTCTTATCCTGAGAGTCAAACTCTATACCAGCATGTGAGTAACTTATTTCATGGCATAAGAAAGCAGTCTAGCACTTTTTTATCTGTGAACATTGTGGCTACTGTTGGCAGAAGATTCTCACGATATCTCAAAACCTCAGTAAATAAAAAATGATCCATATTTTGTGGGGGTTAGGGTGACCCTTTAATCACTTTAATTACTCTTCTATTTGAAGTGTGGTTGGTGTTTTCATTTATTGTCAAATTCTGTCCTCAGGAGCCCCTCCATCATGGGGATTCTTGTAGCTGATCGGATGTTTTTTGGAGAGATCGGAAGTCTTGATGGTGGAATGAAAATTTATGGAGGTGAAAATGTGGAACTCGGCATCCGGGTAAGATTTACGGGATGTTTCAAAGTGACTAAAATACTGCAATTAAAATCAAAATAGAACTGTGTTTTGGAATGGTTGCTCAGAGGTTATTGTATTTAGCCATGCTAGCAGCATAGTGAAGGAGGGCAACATTGGTCTGCCTGTCAGGTTTCGTGGTTGCATGGGTTTCTTTCAACAATCTAAACCATATAAGGTAACTGAAGGTTCTAAGATGCCAACATGTATCTGTATATCTTTTGTTGGTTATTTTTCTAGGATGCTTACTTGTGCTTTGTCAAATGCATGTTGGGATATGCTAAGGAGAAAGAATGATACATTTATATGTGTATATTTGAGCAGCGTGCACATTGCTTTGGACTCCCTAAATTGTTTGCTTTGTTGTGCAGTGGTAATTTTTCCTTGCAATAAATGTGTGTGTGTGTGTGTGTGTGTGTGTGTGTGTGTTTGTGTGTGTTAAATGCCCTTAAACTTTACTTTTAAAATATTTACCTTTTTGTTTTTCCAGGTGTGGCTGTGTGGAGGAAGCATAGAAGTCATACCTTGCTCTAAAATTGCCCACATTGAACGGGCCGTCAAGCCTTACCTCCCAGACTTGAGTGTAATGGTAAAGCGTAATGCTCTGAGGGTGGCGGAGGTGTGGATGGATGAATATAAATACAATGTCAACATTGCCTGGAACCTTCCCCTAGAGGTAAGGAATAACACCTCATTCTCTCAATACACAAATTAGGCATCATAAAATAGTGCAAATCCCGTAGTTCCTCTTACTGATCAAACTTTTTTTGTGTCCTTTTTATCCTGATGTTTCCTACAGAATCATGGGATAGACATTGGGGATATATCAGAGAGGAAAAAGCTGAGAGAGAGGCTGAATTGCAAGCCCTTTAAGTGGTATTTGGAAAATATTTACCCCATGCTAGACCCTCTGCATGACCTGTTAGGTTATGGAGTGGTGAGTAGAAACAATATCAAATATAACCACTGCATTTGAAGTCTGAATCTGCAGGTGTCACAGTCATGCTTCAGAAGGCTTCATTTGGGTTTCATTTAATATATTTATTTTTTTCACTATTACATTGATTCCCAGGAAGACTCTCAATCATCCAAGTCACAGGACAATAATAAAAACATCAGCAAGTCAGTTGTATAGTTGTGTTTGGTTTAAGATGTTTTTTTAACCTGAATTTATTAAGAGTAGGTTTTCTGAGAATGCATGAACTCTCTACTATAGGAACTCCTGCTCCAATTAGTTAAAACATCTTAACAAATGGAATCTGCTCCAAATGAACCAGTGTTTGATATGTTGACTACAGAGCAGTTGCAATAGAGCTTTGCATTAGCAAGAGAGCCTCTCTTCCACTTTCCTTCCTAGATATCATTCACCACCTGGCCACCACCCTCCATACCTCACTGTCCTCACTCCTCTCCCCCTACCAACCCTCACGGTCCCTCAGATCTCAGATGTCTGTTTTTCACTTTTTTGTATCCTATAAGCAGGCCTTATAACTCTTAGGTTTGGTGTCCGTTTTGGGAACCACTGACGTAAATGACAATGGTAGTCTGATAAAATTATATATTTTCAACAAATCCCATGAAGTACAAAAACCAACAAGCACTGGATTTTTATTTTGAGTCAGTCCCAGATACATCATACAGCTGTTGTACTCACCAGAGCACCAAACGTGTGAAAATATCCCCAACAAATGCACTATTTGTTCCTGTTTAAGTAACACTTGCTAGAAAAAAACAGTGCCCAGCTGTTTAAAGAAATTGAAGGACGTTTTTAAAAATGAAAGTATATGTGACTTTTTTTTAAGATTTACATCTTTAGTTGGATTAGCTTGAAAGCCAACTCATGGTTCCAGCATTCACAAAGGTCAACATGGTCGAGTTGGTTTTGGTCTTTTCATGGGATTAGTTGACAACAACAAAATTAATATAAAAATGATTATGTATATGTTGTGTTGGCAGCTAATTAATGACCTGAAGCCAGATCTCTGTGTTGACCAAGGCCCGGTTCCTGGGAACACACCCATTGTATATGCATGCCACAACTACTCACCACAGGTATGTTCAGAGATGCACTGTATGCACACAGACTGTTATTTTTGTTTGTTGGTGGATAATTATTGTTCTTTGGTATAGCACTGTTATTATCGCTCTGATGGCCAACTCTACATCGGCGGAATCAAATCTCACAAGTACAGCAGCAACCGCTGTCTGGTGGACCCCGGCACCGGAGTCTACCCAGGACTCTACAACTGCAAACTGGCCCAGCAGAAGAACTTCCACATGCTGTGGGATTTTAAACAGGTAAATATTACAGTCTTAAAATACAAATCCACACCAAAGAGTTCAGTCTATTTGGAGAAAAAGAAATGTGCTTTATTGTTGTGTTTTAATCCCAGAAAGGACTAATCCAGAACAGAGAAACAAAGAGATGTCTAGAAGTTGCAATGGGTGAAGACGGCTATTACAAACTTGTTGTACAGCAGTGCAGTGGTCAGAGCTGGAAGATAGAAAATCTCATCAAAGACTTTACTTTACTGCACACCTGAATTGGACCTACAAGATCTACAAGGAACTAATGCTTTTTATTTTATTCTTGTTTTTGCATCATGCCATTTTGACAAATGTAACTTTCACACAAACTTTGTGTATTGTTTCTTTTCCAAAAATGTCATTTGTGGTTACAGTTTTTGAATTCCTTTTTCTGGTGGCAAAATTCGCTGTGGACAACTTATAAAATTCCTTTTGTAGTTTTTCCAGTAAAAGAACTATAGTTCAGAAACTTGTGTGAGGGTTTTAACTTACCTACAGTACCCACCTTTCTATGTCCGACCTATTTTTAACTCCTTTCAGCCTATCCTTTTGCAAAGAAACAGTTCCAATGAAACACCCTACATTGAATCTGAATTGTTTACATAAAGGCTGCTAATGGTCTATAGATATTTGCTCTATGACAAACATCATTCAAGTCAAATAGGATCCGTTATGGATTGGTTGTCATGACTGATCCATTACGAAGGAGTTCCATTTTTTCTGCCATCTGATGTGACCCGTATCCTTCAGATGAGCTGGCAGGGAGCTGTACCTGCAGGCAGAAGATACTTCATGAGAATGAATGAAATATCATTTTTAAAGCTTGGAACATTATTGGAAAGTTTATTTGCAGTCTTTTTAACTCAAACTTGTTTTACACCATAAACTAGAAATCACATATTCTTTCAAAGCCTACTGTAATTTTTCTAAATTCCTCCTCTAATTTCCATTTATTTCTGATGTGAAAATCAAGTTGCTGTTGGTCTTTACTTGGAATAACAATGTTGCTATTTAGAGGTCTGTTTAACAAAAGCAAATGAAATTTGCAGGGTCAAATATGCTGTTTAGCCTACCACCTAGTGTAACAGTATGGCTCACTGATGTGTTTTTAAATAGTTTTTGGATATCAATGGAACTCTAAGGCACAGATGAATAAGCTATATCAAGTTGTTGATACACACAATACATCTTAATAGGATCAATTCATTGTTTCATGGGATATGTTGACAATAAGAAAAATATAGAATATCAGCAGACCTATTAAAACCTATGGCTGCCTGAAAGGTAGACAATCAGTCTAAAAACATTTGCTTAGTAGCCTAACTTCTGGCCCCTCAGATCACAAGCCGGCTTGTGCTTTCCTTTAAAGGCTGATCGTAACAAAAAACACAGACATTAGATGATTAGAAGTCAACTGATTCTCACCTGATAGAGTTAACAGCCAGCTCTTTCAATGTGCCCAGGTTTGCTTTTAGCCCTCCGATGCCAACAAAGGCTTGATAGAAGTCATAGGAGAGGCCTGTGGTGCCAAACAAAGACGGATCATCAGAGCTGATCACCATCGGGTGACCCTCAGACATCAGCACAGCTGCAGGGTGGTTCCGAAGGTCCGATACCAGCTTCAGCACCTGGAAGCCAAAGATCAAGCACACCCAGGTACTTTATATGTGAAGACAGGCATACAGGTACTGAATTCAAATCTGCAGACTTCCCAGATCTTGCGGACCTAACAGGAGCTTTCCCGAGAAGTCCACAAGGGGTCTCAAGCAAACTTTCTGTTTGGGATGCACACTTCACCAGACTTAATGTGACAGAACACAACAGGCAGACGATGCTAAGGCTGATAAAAGGTGGATTTGTTTTGTTCTGCAAAGCTATACAGGCAAGAGTCCTTTTGTCCACTTAAGTTACAGGTTTAGGAATTTCTATTCATCTACATGAAAAACTTTAGGTTTTAAGTCCTGTCTCAAGCACATTTCATCCCCCCGTGGTCAAACTCCCTTAAAGATGTGATGCCGGTAAACATGTCACTGTAGGCCTATGTATGACAAAAGTCTGCAAGGGCTCAGTCCGCAAGTCTGACGAATGAACATTTGGATTCAGCCATGTTCTTGACTTTTGTGCCAATGATAATATGTTATCTGACCTGGTTTGAGATGGGGCACAGCTCCACAGCCACCTTTCTTTCCCTAGAAAGATCTTTGGCAAGAGGATGGTGTGCCAAAGCATAGCCGTGTCCAATGCGTGTGGTGTTGAACAAAAGGGCATCAAGAATGTTTTGATCCACATCAGTTCCTTCATCATCTACAGATAAACATGCACAGTGGAGTCAAAGTATGTATTTTTTTATATATTTTTTTTACTTTTGAAAAACGATTATGTATCTTACGCTTTTGATCAACCCACCTGTCTCCCCTGCGTGGAAGAAATATGGTAGCGTGACACCCAGTTCAGCTGGCAGAGAAAGGGCCTCCCTGAAGTACCAAAGAGTCCTCCCACTGTCCTCCCTGCCAACCTGCAAACCACAATATTAGCTTAGCTTAACCAACCAGAACTACCCAGAGAAGTGACGTCGACTTAAGAGCATATTGTTATAGTCATAAGATGTTCAACAAGACAGATCACTTCTTACCATGTCAAATCCTGCAACAATATCTGGGAATTCCTTTTGCAGCTGAATGGCTTCTCTTACGGCTGCTTTGACCTCAGATACACTCAGAGCCCTGAAGAAAGCCGCAACGTACAAGTACTTAGCAAGGACGTCGTTAGGCCTATTTTAGGGGTGGTGAAGCCACCCTAACATGATCCTAAGCCCCCCTAAATAATAATAAGGAAAATAATTATTAGATTTTTTTTTTTTATACAATGCAGACATGTACTCAACGAAGAGAAGCAAGAATATTGATAAATACTATAGAAATATACTAATATGATTTGCATTTATTGTTTTAAAATAATTCTGGTTGTTTCCTATGCTTCATAATTTAAATCCCTGCTATGGTGGGGCACTAGAACCCTGAGGGAGGCTGCCTTTCATTGCTGCTTTGCCGAGCTGCCGAGCTGCCGAGAGACGTTACTAGCCTACACACAGAGAGAGAGACACACACAGCAACTCACAGACAGGGTGAAGGAAGATTGATTCAGAGTGAAACTGTAAGTTGTTGTTAGTGACTGTTACTTGCTGAACTTCAGAAATATTTACTTGAGGTAAAGGAAATGAGATATTTTAGTTGGCTATGGAAAACACTAGTGTTGATAATGTGAACGCCATTAATATTACCTATCTCTAGTAGCCTATTTCAAAACAATATAAGTCCCCATAGAATGTTGTTGTCAGTGAAAACTAAATTTTATAGTGTCCTTCCATTGACCAGATGGATATTGAAGATATTTTAGGAGAGGGAGAGAGAGAGAGAGAGAGAGAGAGAGAAAAGCAGGAGAATGGCAGGGCAGCTGATTCTGAGGTCAGTAGTGGTCTGCAGGTCTGTAGTATTTTACAGTCAGTCTGTGGTCTACAGGTCTAAGGAAATGTGGGCTGTTTTGTTTTCTTCTAACATTATGCATTTGTTGGCAGATGTTGCCTAAATGTAGGCTAGGATATACATGAGCATATACAGATATACACAGGAAAATATAATAAAATAAAAGCAATCATACATACATGTATCCATATATATAGTAATCATTACTCCAAATCTTTTAATATTTCCACCATCAGGTTTTTAAGTTCAGACAGTAGCCACTTTAAATAGGATCCTTATCAACAGCTTACATATGAATGTTTGTATGCAGCCAAACAACAGAGCAAAAATCCCACTCTGATTGAACCAATCCACAGTGCAGTAACAGTAATTAGTGTAATTAAATATTCTTAGTTAGCAGCTCTTTGAATCCTGGTCAATGAGAGAAGTTAGCTGTGGTAAAAGTGCCAAATCTGGTTCAAAAATGGGCTGGACAAAATTATTTTATTATATGAAATTTTTTCATCTGCATGTGTGTTGACTCAACAGAGATGATATTGCATGAGAAAGTTGATCTACAGGAGAAAAATATCTGAAAGCAACACAGAATGACTGAGAGCTGCACTGACTTAAGTTCTTTTGAGTTATAGATTTTGAGTTGTCACCTGCCACCTGAATGTTGTTTCCCTTTGCATAAATAAAAAACACCTAAAATTGATGCAGGAAACTTCACCAGAATGCAGGAAATTAAGTGTTTAATGCTCATATATATATAAAAAAATCCTAGAGGAGGATGCACCTACATTTCTTTTGCTTCCAATGCTCATGTAACATTACAGTAATTTTTGTTCATTAATTTTTGGTGCCTGACTGTTAAACTGACAAAAGGGACACTAACCAGCGATTAGCATTTCCCTGAACAGCCTATCAAAACCGCCGCCCCACATACATGTAACCGTGTCAACTGACCTTGCTCTTTGGTTTCATTACCCCATCAAAGGGATACTCCTTGTCTCACCTAAGTGTGACATAACCCAGGAAGCCAAACTTTAAATAACCAAAGACTGCAGTCTCCAAAGACTCAAAGCATTGAATTAAGTTTAATTAAATATTTTAGTTACTTGATTACATTTGCCTCTATTTGAGTAGTTATGTTACCATGTTGTTGCTATCTGTTGTTGATATTAGTGCTGAAAAGAATCTAAATAAGTTACTTTTGCAGTGTTTTTATTTTTAGCAAGATTAAGGACACTCCTTCATCTAATGTGTAACCAATACTTGTTCACAATACTTTCTCACAAAATTCCTTTAGAAATGATGATAAAGAAATGTCATACTATACTCTATTAATTATCCAGCTTGAATTTCCCAGTTCCTAAGGAGAGATGATCTTGGATTAATCTAAGCTTTCCTGATGTAACCTGAGCTCCCCCAAGTGGACGAAATAAGTATTACATACCATCGTTGGAAATGCCGTTAAATGTATAAATATCCTGACCAATAATGTGACAATTGTTTCCTGTTACCAAATGCTTAACTTAGAAAGATACAACCGTTTGACCATTGAGGTTCGATTGTGGAAAATATTTGATTATAATACACGCAAATACATTTCTTTTCTTTTAGACATTAAGTTTAGAAAGGCAGTCCCTCGGGATACCTGAAACGCCCTCTGGGGAACCACGCCCCAGGCAACAAAAGAGCGACACGCGACGTCGTTCGCTCTCTCTCTCTGCTCTTCTCCTCCCCTCGTGTATGGCGGGTGGATAGTGCAGAGCGAGTATGGCGGGTGGATAGTGTCAGAGCGAGTATGGCGGGTGGATAGTGCCACGGATAACCTACCAAAGGAGACCGTCGTGTGACAGCTACGTGTGTGGATAGGCTACTCCGTCGCCAGTGAACAACGTCGTTGATAAGCCCGTCGCCGTCAGGCTTGTTTTTTTCCCCTCAAACTTGTTCTTCTTTTCTCTTTTTTTTATTGGCGGTTGGCAAACTAGCCGAGAGGTGCATTAGTGCCACCAACTGGACTGGAGTGTGGAACCAGAGATTATTTTCAATACATGGACTACAGGCCTACATGCTCCAGCCTTTTTGTCATTAAAAGTGTTGCTGTAAAATTAAATTTTACACAGAAATTTAAAAGGAGGGTAATCTAATGGATATAATATTTATCAAAGATATTAATCAACTTAATTTTGTAAGTTATGTCAGCTGAGAAGTTTACAGCAGAAACTTGAAAAACTCAATTGTGGTGTTTACTTAATTAAATATTACACTGAGTGTGTTTTTACATTTATTCATTAATAAACTATAGCTCTAACTTCAAAAATATAACTGGTAATATTTGTAATTTAATTGAGTAGCCTATAGGCCATGAAATTATGCTATATTGTTGTATTATAGATATCAGGGACAACTTGAAGTTCTAGCCTCCCATCTTTAATTTTTTTTAACTGGCATGATGTTTACTTTTGGGTCTATTCTGTAGATTAAAATTGTAATAGACCAACACCAAGCTACATGTTTTATTTACATCAATGTTTTCCTCATATTTGATGCTGCCATAAATGTTTTGTTTTTCAACAGTTAACCATTTTAAAAACACAGCTTGAGAGGCAGTTTAATTGAGTCACGGTGGCGCTGCAAATTCAAACATGAGAACCAATCAAAAGCATAAGAACAGCAACAAACTTTACTAAACAACTGTGGCTGGAAATGGCAAAGGAAGACAATGTGCACATGAAATACACGCAAAGCAACAAAATGAATATTATTCAACATATAGCCAAGCTTTTTAAAGAAAATATTCAGATGGCATCTTAAGCATTTTCATAAGAAATTGTGATTTAATTACATATTTTACCAGTCGGCCTAACTGTAACAGATAACACTTACATTTACGTTTGTCTACAGTTGAACATTAAATGGTGTTCTTGGTATAGAATCATGGGAGCTTTATATTTATATGAGCATTAACAATAAGCTATGCAGAGTGGGAAATTATGTTTGAATCATTGTATAATAGTATGCTGGTTTCTCTTAGCGTAGCATCCCGATGGAAAATGAAGGATCTTAAGATTTTTAATTTGGTGTTTTGTACTTCAACAACAATGTAATTGCTAAAAAAAAAAAAAGTGCAGACATAAGGTAACATAGTATCTTATAACTCCTTTAGGATTACATTGATTAGTAATGCATTAGCATGATCAAAATAATCCTAATCATTATGCAGAAATATACATTTAAAATACATTGCCAATAAAATAACCACAGGCAAATGCCTATAACAAATAATAATAGAAACTGAATAAGCATGAAACAGCTCTAATACTTCAATGATTAATTTTATAAGTAACTGTAGGCCTAATACAACCATTTTCACATTGTGGGGAGGTGAAAGCATCATCTTCTTCAGTGGAATTTTATAGGATAGTGAATCCAAACAATAAAGCACAACACAGGCTATGAACTGTAGGCTACTCCAGAGTTCCCAGTCACCACAAGAATAAAAGCATTTAACACAGGCTGTACAAAGCATGACTTGAATTTACTCAATAAAGTTAAAATAGGAGTTACACTGACAATGGTGTATTGGTGGCGACGTACCTAGTGACGACGTGTGACTCCCATTCAAAAATCCACACGGTCTGGCGGCGACGGCAGGGTAGACTGCTCCTTCTCCTTCTCCTGGTAATCCTCGCTCTGACACTATCCACCCGCCATACACCTACTAAATACGTCTGAACTAGGTACGTCGCCTTACAACCGTGTGATACACACGTCGTCACTAGGTACGTCGCCACCAATACACATACAATTGTTGCTTTGCGTGTATTTCATGTGCACATTGTCTTCCTTTGCCATTTCCAGCCACAGTTGTTTAGTAAAGTTTGTTGCTGTTCTGATGCTTTTGATTGGTTCTCATGTTTGAATTTGCAGCACCACCTTGACTCAATTAAACTGCCTCTCAAGCTGTGTTTTTAAAATGGTTAACTGTTGAAAAACAAAACATTTATGGCAGCATCAAATATGAGGAAAACATTGATGTAAATAAAACATGTAGCTTGGTGTTGGTCTATTTTTTATATTATAAATGACAGTTGGGTACACAAAGTAAATGATAAAAGCACAATTTTAATCCACAGAATAGACCCAAAAGTAAACATCATGCCAGTTAAAAAAAATTAAAGATGGGAGGCTAGAACTTCAAGTTGTCCCTGATATCTATAATACAACAATATAGCATAATTTCATGGCCTATAGGCTACTCAATTAAATTACAAATATTACCAGTTATATTTTTGAAGTTAGAGCTATAGTTTATTAATGAATAAATGTAAAAACACACTCAGTGTAATATTTAATTAAGTAAACACCACAATTGAGTTTTTCAAGTTTCTGCTGTAAACTTCTCAGCTGACATAACTTACAAAATTAAGTTGATTAATATCTTTGATAAATATTATATCTATTAGATTACCCTCCTTTTAAATTTCTGTGTAAAATTTAATTTTACAGCAACACTTTTAATGACAAAAAGGCTGGAGCATGTAGGCCTGTAGTCCTTGTATTGAAAATAATTTCTGGTTCCACACTCCAGTCCAGTTGGTGGCGCTAATGCACCTCTCGGCTAGTTTGCCAACCGCCAATAAAAAAAGAGAAAAGAAGAACAAGTTTGAGGGGAAAAAAACAAGCCTGACGGCGACGGGCTTATCAACGACGTTGTTCACTGGCGACGGAGTAGCCTATCCACACACGTAGCTGTCACACGACGGTCTCCTTTGGTAGGTTATCCGTGGCACTATCCACCCGCCATACTCGCTCTGACACTATCCACCCGCCATACCACGGAGAATTCCTAGCAAAAAGCCAGGATCGGGCAGCTAGCGTGGGACCCGTGCAACAGGCCAAAGCAGGCCGTCGACGAGCCGTAAGACCTAACAAACATTCTGTGGTCAGATGTCCCGTAATGTTAATATTTCCTTTTAACTCCTAAACTCATAGTTTACTTTTCCCTGTATTTAACCACCTGTTTATATCGCTTTAGTTAACTTTAGTTATTAATAAATTCACTGTAATCAGGAAACTGTGTGTGTTGCCTATTTCCACGTCCCTGCCAAGAGAATTGACCCTTTAGATATGAGACTGACTGATTGATTTTAATAATAATAATAATATAATAAATAATAATTTAGCGATTATTAATTAACTGATCACTAGTAATAATTGTATAATTATTAAAAGCTACCTAGAGGTCCGGAGACTCTAGGATTGTAACAACTCCGGTGGTGCCCTGAAACAAGGAATATCTTTTTGATTTTATGAATATTAAAATTCATAATTGGGTATTAATTCTCATAAATTTATTAAAATTCATAACTAATTTAGCCATGCTACATAATACAGTAACAAAAGATGCGAGTGCAAAGATTTTGCCTGTACGTTGCCTATCTTATTTGAAAGTGGTTGTTGAGACATTTCACTGGGGAGAGGTGACTGTAAGATTTAAGTCCTAAATCATTATGATTCTTCCTCTGGGGATCATTTATATCTGTGCAAAATTTCTTTGCAATCCATCAATAGACATTTCAGTCTGACCTACAGACCATCAGCCTCAGTTGCACATGTCTAATAAGGGTTATTTTCTCAGACTGGACAAAGCTCCTCCAGAGCACCAGCAGACCTTATACAACTGTTTTCACGTGTTGAGTAGTACTAATTAGAGGAGTGCCTCTTTAATAACTATAAAGTTATTTCCATTTCCAGTAAACAGGAAACTAAATAATTATGAGATAATACAATTAATTATACTTGGAGAACTTTTTCCGCCCAAACTGTGACGTAGTTACAGTTAAATCAGAGCTAGGGGCACATTGTTTCCACTTTGGTTAACTTGTATGGATTCAAAAAGAAACCACCTTATTCTGTGACTGAATATGAAAATATGTTACATTAACAATTATGCAGTGGTGGAAAGTACATTTACTTAAGTACAATACTTAAATACTTAACTAATTTTGAAGAACAATTTTAAATGAACTTTTAACTACACTACTACAGTATGTATACAGGCTTTAAAAATGTATCGGACCATTCTTCTATATAATGCTAATATTTTTTACTTTTGATACTTCACTTTACATTTTGCTGATAAAACAAGTCAGATTTTGAAGGAAGTACTTTTACATACTAATACAATACCTGTGTACAGAAATTATGATACGAGCTCCAAGAAAGTCTGGATGATCTGCAATAAATTTCTTTGTAACTTCTTGAAATGTTTTCAGAGTCCAGACCTTATCGTGAATGGTTCCATCAAGCTCATACGTCTGAAACACATAAAAAGGATTTGTTAAATTTGAAAAAATAACATTTGTCATACTGCTATCACAGTCTAGATAAGCAGAAATATCAGATCTACCAGTACTACTGATACTGCTACTCTGGCTGTACGGGAGAAACTGGAGCTGGGGATCAGGTGTAAACAGACAAGAAAACACAAACCCTCGAGAGACCGCTCCTAAGTTCCAGATACATTATGTTGTCATGCTGAAGCTCCCCTAGGCCCTTGTAGAAGTAATCCCTCAGAACAGGGGCATGCGTGATTAGCCCTGCAGCTGCAATGAAGGCTTTCTCAAACTTCTCCCACACAACATCTTGGCTTGGGTACTCAGCATCTGGATCCTCAGTGAACAGTGTGAGGTGCTGCATTAAACTGAAAAACAACCAAAAACAGATGTTCTAAGTCAAGTTCTCCCATTATATCTTGACTTGAAATGTGTAAGGGAAGGTGATATCTTACACCACCTGTTATCAAAGCCCGTAGGGTCTCCTATTTTGGCTCTCAAGGTGTCAAGCAGCTGCCAGTAGAAGCAGTCCCATCGTGGGAAGGGCTGGCGGGCGGAGAACAAGAAACGGACCGAGTTGTCCCATGTGAAGCAGATATAGCAGTGTGGCCTGTACGTGACGTTTTTCACCAGCCATTCAACACTGACCAGAGAGGAGCTGTGGATGTGGAGGGCTGCACCTGTCAACAAAATAGCAGGATATAACTTCAAACTTAGACTCATACACGGAACGTAGACAGTGACATAAAATGAAGATCCTGGTACTATTGGGTGCTGTGACCATGGACAGGTTATAGGACAATGGGCACAGACACATAAAAGTCCCCCCACCCCTCCTACATGGGAGCAAGATGAGATAGCGTCATTGTTTGTGTCATATTGTTGTAAATTTGTGTCTTTTTGTAGTCAACTTGCGTCTCATTGTAGTCAATTATTTGTCTTTGTGGTCATTTTGCATGTCTGTATCATTTAGTGTCTTTTCTTAGTCATTTAGCATCTCTTTAAGTGGACGTTTGCATGTCAACAGGATCTCTCAGGTGCTCATATTGGTTCAAAAACAGTATATAATTCGGGAGACAAAGAGAGACTCTGACTCCTGTCCAAAGCGTCCTGCCACAACAAATTTTATACAAAATGCTACAGCACACAATACAAAATATTACAGGAAATTACAAGAGCTTTTTCTAAAGCAGAGCTATTGTCAAACTGATTTAAAGTTTACTATTTATAATATTACTAATTTACTGTTACTGTATTTTAATGAAATGTTACTGTAGCCTCAGTATGATGTGCAGCTATAATATTAAGTAAAAAGATAAAAGCCCTGTAGGTCCTGTTCATCCATGCTTGTTACATCACCTTTAGGCATCTTCTGCAGCACTTTGAAGATTGAACTCTTCTGGATGAGAGGCTTTGCTTTGAAGAAGTGGATAGCTGGGGGGAACTGTGCAGCAGACATCTCTTGCTTCTTTAATCGATGGAGGTAAGCGTCCAACTTCTGCTCGGCTGCTGTCAGTGTCACTTGGCCTCCTGTCTGTCTGGACGCCTCCTGACGCATGAGCAGGTTTCTCTGAGAAGGGTCAGGCATCCCATCAGTCGCTCTTACAAACCACAGAAGGGGCACATAAGTGACCGCTGCCTGCCAGATTGAGATCACCATGTCCTTATGTGCCACAGGAGGTTGCTAGAGCATGATCGCACAAGAGCAGGATTTCTGTACTTGCTGCTGTAAAGAAATACTCTGTGTGAGACTGATGAACTGATGACACAAAAGTCCTTCTGGCTTGGAGAAGTCGGTGTTGTTTTTAAAGTAAAGGACAAATACATTTAACTTTTAGAGTAATCAACACGATAATAATCTCAGATAGTATGCACAGCTTGCATTACGGTGCAGACAGAGCCCATTTAGTAGCCTGATCATGGCTGCTTTGCTTTTCGAGTCAAAATTAGCCAAGACAAAAGAGGAGGAAAGTGACAACTCTCAGATCACTCTTAAATAAGGAAAAATCTTACAGGCAAATCTAGCTACATTAAAACATAAAATACTCACCAGTAAGAACAAGATTTTGGTGTCCTGTGTCTCGCCTCAGCCAACTCACAAAAGGCTCAGCTTGTTTTGCCACAAGAAACTCCGGTATCAGTCGAGCATGTCAGCAAAATACTCGGAGCAACTGGATAATTGGGGCATTTTTGTCTGACAAATACCATGTGATAAACTAATGAACAAAGCATGAATGGCCAGCGTAGCAAAATAAGTACAGCGCACAGCAGTGAGGACATTGTATGAGCCAAAAAGAGCAGAGAAGTGATACTACTGATTTATATTTTATTATGTTTTACATTTCCACAATATAACATTTTCAGAGACACAACCAAAACAAGAAAATAACAAACAATAAAACAACAACCACACATACGTATAATTTAATCTGGAAACCTCATATACATACAGTGCACCCTCTGGAATGATAACTCCCACTCGTTTAAATCATGACAGAGTAACGTACAGTCGATGTAATGTCAAAAAAATAACTCTGTAAGGTCATGTACAGTTTTCAGTTTTGTTTCTAGGATGCAGGGTTTTTTTCTCTGTGATTGGTTGGAGCAGACACCCATTAGCAACACAATGCCCCATACAACTTATAACATGTTGCAGAGGTTAATGAAACTGGGAAAACTGTGACACAGATGCTTGTCCTGAAAATTGATCCAATTAGAGGACAATTGGTCAACCATCCAGTCTGGATCCCGTCGTCCCTGACTAATAAGTGTAAACTGAGACCCTCAAAAGGGGAAGCAGCAGAGTAAACCAGTCACTACAGCTGCGCAGTACCCTTGACGCACATCTGTCATGTTGAGTTGCAGCGTCTATCATGTCTCTTAATGCACAGAAAAATACAGCAATACATTACACAAATTGGTTTCACAGAGGAATGACTTGTCTTTCATATGACAAAATAAAAAATAAAAGTAGAGTTTTTCTCTAATACAGTGGAACTACTCAGTCCATGAACTTGCGATTTGGGTTGGCACCAAAGAGAGCCACTCGAATTTCCGGCATCATCTGCAAACACAGAAACAGATGGTTTATAAGTAGGACAGCAAATCACGATTAACCTGCAGATTATTTTATCAATTCATCTTTTGGTCTATAAAGTGTTAGGAAATAGTAAAAAAAAAAAGCCCCACTCAATTTCCAAAAACCTGCGGTGACATATTAAAAATGTATGAACAAAAGTCCAAAACCCTAAGTTCTAGAAGTTTTAGTTTATTGTATTTATTTGAGCTTTACTACTACTATTACTTAAGTAGGAAAGCCTCACTGAGATTAATTTAAATGCCCCACCCAAAACAATCAAGTCAAACAAAAAACAGACAACACAAAGTATGTCACAAGATCAGAACACTAAATGTATAAAAAAGTGAATGTACGATTATGAAAATCGATCTAAAAACTATGCCATATTTTGGAGACTAGAGTTGTGTAAATTGGGATGGGTACATTCTTATTTGTTCACTTTTGTTGATTTATTTATTGTCCCATTTTGTTTATGTGTTTGCTCACTGTAAAAGAAACTGCCAATATAAGAGATATCATTCTTTAAATTTGCTGTATAGATAGATAAGTGTCAATAAAATAACAATCTTGTAACTAAGTAAAGTTCATTTATGGAACACCTTTCTAGATCAGACAGCTTCATTAAAAAGGACAAAAGCCAAATTGACACAAAATTGAAAAATATAATAAATACAAAATCACTTGCAGCTCCTCACATTGAAACAAAGTTTCACGTAAGATGAAAGCCACACTAATCTTATTTCTGTCAAATTTAGACTGCATGACTGCACTGCTCGTTAAAAGGAGGAATTCTTCTTTGCTATTCTTTTTTCTTTGACATTGAAAGAGAGCATGAACACAACAGACAAAATAATCAAATGTCAAGACCTCTTAAAACATGAGATGAGAAAAAGGAGAGGGGGATTAAAATAGATAAACATAACAACATACATGCACAATGGAAGGCTAAAAATCACACTGGTAGGAGTGTTTATGATGCATATTTAAACATTTTCTGGAATCAAGGATGAAAAGGGTCGTCTCTATTTCCTACCTGCTGAGCCATGAGATCCAGTCTGCTCTCCAGGGTGTTGGCCACCTTAATCTTCCCATTGCCGTTATAGATCTCAACACCTCCAGAACTGACGGAAGACAGGCACAAATCAAAATGACAAAATACCCATCTTCAGGAGTAAATTTAACACGGCAAAGTTTCATTTATGTTAAAAATGTGATGCTGCTTACACATCTGGGGGGATGAAGTTGTCCTGGTCAATGCGGACCTCAATGCTGCTCTTCACTGCTGCTTTATAAATAGCAATAGACCTCTGGATGGATGCCTGAAAGACGAGAGTCACAATACAATTTGAATTTAGATTTAAAGGTGTTACCTAACTCGCTCAGCAGAATCCTCCTCTCTGTCTTCTGAGACTACCTACTCACCTAACATGCTCTCTCACACACAATAAATAAGAATCCATTTCCTATTCTCTCCTATTTCTTGTCACATGCATACATGAATTTGAAACTGAGCTTCTAAACACATCAACTTGATGATCTCTCCTTGATCTACAGTGTCTTGGGTTGTACCTCATTTGTACGTCGCTTTGGACAAAAGTATCTGCTGAATGGATAACTACAAAAAGTATTATTTGGGGGGGCTTTTTGTGCCTTTATTTCAGATAGGACAGTTGAGAGACAGGAAATGTGGGAGAGCAAGAGATGACCACATGCAGCAAAGGGCCGTGGATCGGACTCGAACCCAGAAAGGACTCAGTCTTTGTACATGGGGCGCGCGCTCTAGTGGAGCTAACCGGCGCCCTAACAAATATAAATCTGAACATGCACTTGCTAATTTACTCACCTGTACCATCTGCACATCCTGTTTACGGCAGCGAATAGTCACTTTCGGCTCCAGAAGCTGATACAATCCCTGAAATGGAAGATTATGAAAAGGTTATTAAACCTTAGTTTTTAATAACTTTCTCATAAACATAGTTGCCAGTGTATTAGGTACACCGAGCTAAAACGAATGCAGTCCTTAAATAAATCCTACCCTCATGAAGGCTGTAGTGTTCAATTTTTGTTTAAACTGTTTCAGAGAGGTGTTGATTTGATGGAGGCTGTAGTTTGTGGTGCAGCTGAACCGTAATGAGTTATACTGACAGGTGTTTCTATTATTTATAAGCCTCATTGCTATAAATAGGTGAACATAATATTAGAAATACCTCTCAGTACAATGCAATACAATCAGAATCAAAGTAGGTTTTCACCTACAACGAATATGCTTTGGTGTTTTTGTCCATAACAATAAACATAATAAGATAAAACTGAAGAGAAAAAGGAAGTACTGCGAGTCAAGAAGCATATATGGAAAATTTACAATAAATATGAAAAATTGTGAAAAAAATACGTACAATATAAAAATTAAAGCGCTGTACAGTTTTGTGCAGGAATGTGCAAACTACTGACCAGGGAATGTGCATAATACGTGATAGTAATGTTGTATTAGACTGCATTAGTTTTAGCCAGGTGTACCTAATAAACATAGAGATAAGTGTATAGTAGCTGAAAGTATAAACTAACCTGTAAGATCAATCCGTCCATCAGAGCTGAATACCTGGCTGGGTCTTTTGCGACGTTAACGAGCCGTTGGCGGGCCTCATTCAGCATTTCCTGAGGGCACAATACACATGGGGTTTCATTTACTTACACAGAAGACAGTGTTCACAAAATCCATCTCTCTTGTATAATTAAAATTAGCCACTGTGATCACAAAATGATGTATGGCTGCTTACGGAGATCATATCATCCCGGGCCTTCAGCACCTTCAGTCGAGCCTGGTTCATCAGGTTTGACATTTGACTGTAGACAAATAACACAGACATTGGGTCTGATAAGATTTCTAAGTGAGACTACCGGTTTGTTCTTTGAGACTATTTGAGGCAGCTTACAAAAGAGTCATTGTAGGATGAAGAGACTAAATGAAATTACGGAAATTCTGTCACACATACAGATATATCTTTGGTCTTAAAAAGGCCAGATTAAGGATGGAAGGACTTAACGTGTCCTGTGATTTCCTGCCATGACTCACATTTTCTTCTGCTGCTCAATCTGTTTCTCTTTCTTCTCGTAGTACTCCATTATCTTCAGCCTCTGAGTCTGGACCAGACGGCCCTTCTCGATGTTGAACTCTTCTTCTGCCTGCAGGAGGAGACACAGTTCACTCAACAAGAAGTTCTCCATCATAACATTGTTTTTGTGATCATCAATCAGTGCATCTTAGCACTTATTTTGGTCACTATATTTAAAGGAAGGGCTGGGCAATAAAACAATAATGAGAATTATCGAGATATAATTTTCAATCAATAACAAAGTAATAAATGTTCAATAAATGTTTAATGTAATTCATATGGCTCAAAACAAATTAGCACTTAATTATTACGATAAGATATTTATTTTGTTGGGGAAAAGGGACTGAAAAAAGATTTCACTTTATTTTACCCATGCATATTTGTTGAAAAATTATTTTATCATAATTGTTTTGAATGTTCTACCTCAGATTGGTGAAACGATCCACTGTTTGGCAAGTGATCATCATGTTCTGACCATAAAGAATAGTTTAAAACCACATGTTACCATCTAGTTTCTTTAACT